TGAAAATGACAACAAACAGGTGCAAAGCAAAGATTACAGACGAATTTCAGAAACACGCAGTACGATCGTGCATACAAGCGCGCGCGTGGTGAGCGTGCGATGCGCACGGGAGATACGCGTTTTCTTCGCGTGTCGTCGTCTCACTGTCGTGTCAAGGACAACGAGGAACGGAGTCGGATGCTATGCACGGGCTTTTCACCGAAAATGAAATACAGAATGCATCTCGCGTCGCAATCGCCGACGTAATCGCGAATCTTTGGCACGTGGATACGCGTTTTTGAAAATTTATTTCGTCAGTTTTTAAAAAGCCTAAAACACTTTTTAAGAAAGAAACATTAGCGTATTGAGAAAAGATCAAGGTTAGAACCGCTAGACGAGACTAATATTACCAAGTTTGAATATTTTATTTACTTTATTCGCTGCGGTATGCAAAAATAATATCAAAATAATGAAAAACTTCGAGACCGTTATAGGAGCAAGTGGAAGTCTATGCAGAGCACAGAAGTTCAATTTAATCCGAACAAGCGACACGAGGACTTGAGAATATCCGATATACGGAGTGTCTCGAAATTATCGCCGCGGAGTTTAATGATTTAAATAAAATTTCCTAAAATCAATGTTATCATTCGTTTTGATTAATAATATGTGTGTGCTTTGATAAAAAAAATAGTCAAAATTTACTCTCCAAAGATAGATTTTTATTACGAAATAAAAATATATCGATCGTTTATTTTTCTGTAAGAGCTTTTGTATATTTTATTGTATCTTTTATACGATACTTTTTTGTAACAAAAATAAAACCGATATTTCTTGTGTATATTTTGCGTCGTCGTATTTTTCCTCTCAACGGGAAAGGATAAATTCACTTTTTCAAGACCAAGTCATATTCTGTCTTTTGGACACCCTGTATATGCGATCGGTTTGTGTCGCTGGCTGGCGGGCAGGCCGAAATTGCGCCGGGAGCGAATCCTGGGAGCAAGATACGCGGCTTCGGGTCGAGTAAGCACCTCGACGGAGGAGCACCAATCACGGGCGCGAGCATCGTTGCGTGCCGGCACGTCCCGCTTGACGGAGCGGGGCGAAAAGGGAGGCAAAAACGGCGAAATGACGAGGAGAGCCATCCTTCGCGACCGCGGATCTCTCGTCGGCCGACCGGCGGCGTGTTTTCGCACGCGCGCAGACAGGTACCTCTACCTACCTGGAGAGGAGAGAGCACGACAGCAGGACGCAAATATTCAATCACCCGGTTCAAACAGTGGCAGGTCCGCGGTGGGAATGAAAAAGAGAGAAACAGAGAGAGAGAGAGAGAGAGAAGAATGCACGAGCGACAAACAATCGCCGTGAAAAAGCGAAATTGGTTCCTTCTTCGATCTCTCGAATTCTCATCCGCGGAAGACTGTGTTCGTTTATAAATGCTTCGCCGAATCGAGAACACTGCATCGACAAATCTAATATTTATTTCATCTCCTCTGTATATCCTATATTTCTCAAGTCACAAAACATCAAATCACAAATCGACGAGAACTTTGCGAGAGTTGCAACAATTTTTTGATTGGATTTGAGTACTAATGGAAAATTTCTCAAATTTGTTTTATATAATGATTTTAATTTCGATCAAATATCTTTGTTCACACGCGAGCGATTTTATTTGACAAAACAATGATCAACTGATTTTTTTTTTTTTCGGTAGGATCAAAAGTGCTTCAATCAAAGACTTGAGGAGGGTGACGGCAAACTTGTCGACGCTCTCGTGTATTCGACGGCTAGCAATTTGGTGTGCAGGCCGCTTTCGTCGGCGAGAGGAAGATTTAAATTTGGCTCGCACTCAAAACACACACGCGTCGGCGGTGGTGCTGTAAGTTCGACGTCCGGCGGCAGCGTCTCACGCGCGCGCGATCCAAATAGCCGGCCGTCGAAAGCATCCCCTTTCGTTCCGCGCGAAGGACGGCGAAAATAATCTCGTCCACGGGCGAGTTTCCGATAAATCGCGCGAGCGCATAAGCGTTTACTTTCAGACACTTATACGTGGATCTACGAGCGCGAAACGAAAAGAAGGTGATCGAAGCGATTCTACCGATTGAATTATTCTCATTACAGAAACAGCCGCACTTTATACACGGCAACATCAAATTAAGGATCATTACAGATATCAAGGACACAAAACAGCCCGGTCTGCTCGTTATACTTCGCGGTATTGAAAAATCTTTGGGCGATTCTTCAGGATATATCAGCAAACGCGGAGTTTTGCCAACAAAAATATTTTACTACTGCAGAACGCGTTTTACATGTGTACGTTTTGAATGTGTGTGTGTGTAACTTCGACGAGAATTCATTGAACTCTTAACAGGTCGAATGTGCATTAATATGTATTAGAACTCTGTAACAATGTGAGTCTACATGTACCTGTACACACACAATCATTAATTCAAACAAATGCAACGTATCGCTCCCAATTGTATTTTATATTTGTGTTTAACAAATATAAAGCAGATCTTTTTTTTATACATTTCACATCGTTTCTTCTCTTTTTATATATTACGTATATATTTTATTTGTCAAATAGACTTGTATTGATCATAATTAAATTAACAAAAAACACACTAGCAATAAATTATGTTTTTAAAATGACAGATCACTTGTTCGAGATTCAAACAGATATTGTATATATTTCGTACAAGCGCGTGTCAACTTCTTTTGAATGAATGAATACAAAATGCGTTTGTGTAGTTCAATTTTCCAAACTGTCCAATACGATACGTGTCACGAATGATCTCGAATGCAATTCAAAATATAACAAAACTGCATTAGCAGTTAATGTTTTAATAGTTATTGATTCGGAAGTGACACAAAACTAATTTACGCAATGAAATGGATTGCATGTGAATTAAATTGTGACTCGCGCGCGAAAAATCAAAACGATTAAATACACGCGAGGAAATATACACGCACATCCCAAATGTTATTATAGAAATATTTTACAGAAGGAACATAAATGTAGAAGAGCGGTAACATAATTAACCCACGACAAGCGTCCATCAATTTTATTGAATTACTACATTTGATTAAAAAATCGTACGATTGCTTTTAGTTAAAAAAAAAAAGTTGCAATTTCTTAGTAAAATTAGAATGTTCTCACTCTAATCCGTTATTTCTATTATATTCGTGTGACCAGATATATATATATAGCTTGTAAAAGATATATAGCTTGCATTCTTAATTACTCGTGGCAAGCTTTGTTCTCCCGTTAGTCACAACAAAGCTGTACTATCCAATTATCTGTAACCCCAAACACACACACACACATACACATGTAGCTTCCGACAATTCGAAAAATATATAGGACGAAGACGTGAAGTTTCCCAAAACATGTGTAACCAATGCAAACTCAATGCACCTTTTTCTATCTTCAAAATCACACCGTGATGCAAACATGTGTATGTTGCTGCTGTGTGACATGAAGCTGTTTGAAAAGAATCGAACGATCGAGAAAATGAATCAGAAGTTACAAACCTTTTACCTTATTATTACTAGCGTGACAGTGTCGACAGCGTTCGCGCGCCTTTATCTTATCCGCGTCGTCGATGAACTGATGAATTTTTGTCGCACGAAAATTCGGATCACTCAATCACGCACAGACAGACGGACGTACACACGCGAACATCGGCGAAATGTACACACGAGGACAAGATTTGTTTTTTTCTAAGGCATGCACACGTCTCGCGACGATAAGGCCGGCGCGGCGGACGAATGCACGGACGGCGCGCGATATCACGAGACTCCGCGCGTGCCGGCCGGTCGACCCTGCGTATCGGAGCGGGCATTTCAAACGCGCGCGGCGCGCGCATCGCCGCGAAGAGCGCGCGCGAGGTGAACCGTCGACGAAGCTCACTGTCCGATAGGTAAAACAGAACGGTGAATAAATAACCTTCTGAATTACTAACAAAACACACACTGAAAATGTGTATTTAATAAAAAAAAAAAACAATAAACAAAAGATGTTAAACACTGGATAAACAGAGATAGAAAACAAGAAAGTTAAGTCGGGACAACGTGTATTACCTTCGCCGCAAACGGCAGTCGGTAATGTTTATCCACATTGGGTAAAACCATACAGCAAAGGATAAGTCAGACGAAATTTATCTGGTCGGTAAGACATTGAATGTCGATAATACGCACATGTGACAAACAATAAATTATAGTTAAAGAATTATCAACATGTGTGTCAAAAATGCAAGTTTGTGCGTTGTCTCTCTTAGCCTTTTAGTTGAAGTTATTTGAAAAACATTTAAAAAGAAATTCTATTTTAGAAAAGATCTCGACAAGTTTTAGCCACATATGAGCAGATGGCAGTATTAAAAAAAGAGCGAAAGCCGAATTTTTCAATGAAAAAATACTTTTGATCGAATTTTACGTAAAAATAAACAATAAAAAAATAGCGTAGAAAATTATTCTCAAAACATACGATGTGTATTATATTCAATGAAATGTGTACTGTGTATGAAACTCACTTATAAAATATTTATTACACCACCAAATTCGGCGATGTTGTTTTTAGATCTTTCAAAATGAGACAGGCGAGTGATAATAAAACTTGCACGAGCTCTGAACCGTTATCGATTTGACGAAAGATCTTGCAATAATACGAATAATGTGCAACTCACATTGCGTCGTAATAACACACGTAAGTGATAAGATAAAACGATCGCGTTATTTAATATCGTGATACATAACGAGATTTAAACATTTTGTGACTTTCGGATTTCGGAAAAAAATGGTCGATCGGCAATTTTATTTTACATTTAATTTTTCATATGTTTGTTTTATTTATTTCCTGACTAAAATAATATAAAAATTTTATTGACTTTCTCTTTCTCTTTTTCTCTCTCTTTCTCTCGATGACATTTTGAAGTGTTTATATGTCGAGGGAGAAATTGCTGCTCGCGACGTCATTGATTCACGACGATCACGGCGAAAGATCGACCTTATTCTCGCGCACTCACCTGAAGCTCCGCTTGCGAGACGTCGATCTCGCCGCGGTAGACGAACTCGATGATGAACTTGAGGTCGTTGAAGCACACGTCCTGCGGCATGATAATTGTCGGATGTTTACAAGGATTTGACAGCAGCAAATTTTGAAAGTAAGAACTGCAGGCCGACAGCACCACCTGTGAACACACACAAATAAAACCGTTGTATAATTATCGATATCTTTTATTACGTCGCAATTAATCTTTAGGCGTAAATTTATCAGGTGTTTTGCCGCTGTTGTTCTTTATATGATTTTGTCTCACTTCTTAGATACACTGTTAAAAAGAAATTTCTGTTTTGAATATTTTAATATTTATAGCATTATTTCTCTGATTTTGAATATTTAAAAATCAATATTAACACTTCTCAATAACCATCGGAATATCATAAAATTTAAACGATCGAGACAAAAAAGAGGAATAAAAAACATTCAGGAAAGAAATAAAACAAGACAAAACAATATAAAGAGTAAAAAATAAAAAATACTTTTCTTAAGTATAAATTTTATTATCAAACTTGCTTGAAAATTCTCTCTAATTATAAGTTCATAATATTAATAATACTGCTCAATATTGCAAAAATAGAAAATTCCCTGTTTATAAAAAAAAAAAAAAATAATATAAACACACTTAGTTTCACATTTCTCTCATACCGTGAAAAATAATGTGGTATAGACATTCTAATTCATCGTTTTGCTTTAGACAAAAACCTAACACGTTCGATCTCGCGCGCGATCGCTCACTTACTCACTCTCTCTCTCTCTCTTTCTCTTTCTCTCACACATTTTCTTATTCTCTCCGTGCGTCTTACATATTCCGTACCTACCTTATGCGCTTTCAAGGAGGCCTCGTTGCATGCTAGGGTGACATCGACGAAGGCCTCATTCTGCAGGAGCTGGTGGAACACCGACGTCATGTTTGACTGGTAGTTGTTCCAGCGCAGGCAGTAATGCTGCCCGGCCATGCCGCCACTGCAACAAAAGAAAACGAAAAAGATCGATCTGAGTGTTTTTTTTTCCAAGCGCGACTTTCCCTCGGCAAGATGCATCGAAAAATTATTGTCGACAACAGACGAAGACGACCCCAAGAAACGAAGAGCCGAAGGCTCCCCTCCTCCTCTGTCACGCTTTTCCACGATCGTCATCTCTGTCGTGTACCCTTTCCCCCGCCGCGGAAGAGATCGATCCGCGGAGAAGCGGGATAGTACCTGTAGTGCACGCCCCAATAACGATCTGTCTCCATGAAATATTGGGTTTCTTTTTCCGCCACGGTCGCCAGGAGAAGATATCTCTCCAAGAAGAGGTTTTACGCGCACGAACGGAAAAGATGCGCGCGCGCGAGAAGGAAGGAGAGATGCCGAGGACAGATAGGATAAGAAAAGATGGAGATGGTAGGTAAGGTTTTCTGTACGAAATGTGTGTGCGGAAACGAGCACGAGAAAGAAAGATGAAAGAAGTTGGGAGGAGAAAATACGAGAGAGGAAAAGGTGGATCTTGCTTAGGGTGAAACGACGACGTGCAAGGATGAAAAGGAAACGACGAAGGGACTGAAAGAAACGGGAAGAAGAAAACGAGCCGCTTGCGGCTCACTATACGCGACAGGGAGACACGTTATTTCCGGAAACCCGGCCGCACAAGAAACATGGGAAGAACACTTTTTCGCGGAAGGAGACGATGTGTAAAATAACGGACGAACGGAGAGAACGTATCCGCGAATCGGCACACACCGCGAACATAAGCGACGAACAACAAAAACGCGTACACGGGCGTTGGTCTGTCTCCGTCCGCGACATTCACCTGTTCCGTGGACCGTGCTTTATCTGCCTCTATCTATGTGACTCTTTATACGGGCCATTCCGCCCGTTATCTGTCCGTAGGAACACGGCTTTTATCAGTTGCTTAGACGTGCGCCGATAACGGAGAAACTTAAGCTCGCGCTTGCTGCTTCTCATCGCGCGTTTTGCCGCCTTCTCTCTCTCTCTCTCTCTCTCTCTCTCTTTTTCTTTCTCTCTCTCTCTCTCTCTCTTTTTCTTTCTTTCTCTCTCTCTCTCTCGTTCTTTTCTGACTCTTTTTCTTCGTCTTCCTCCTCCTCCTCCTCTCGCTGTTACTTGCGCTTGTTTCGACGCTCGTCGTTGCCTTTCATCCACTCGCTCGCGCGCGAACTCAAAGAGCGCCTAGAAAATTCTTCGTGATACTTCACTTCTTGTTATCTTCGCTATCCAATACGACGCAGGACTTTGTCGATATCGCCGTTATTGTTATTTACGAACTTCATAAGAAAATGTCAAATAAAAAAATTCGCTCCCTCTCTTTAAAGATGCTTGATTATCTGTAGAATTGCTATTATGATGAATTTTGTTTACGCTCGGCCATATTTTTAATTTATGTAATTCTTTAGTCTCTCACACTTTTCGACTATTTCAATTCTCAAATCTCAACTCGCGATTGCGATAAAAAGCGACAAAAAACTTGTCGATCAAAAATTTTCACATTTCGATGCTAATTTATTTTACAAAACGCTACATATACACACTTGACTTTATATTCAAAATAAAACTTGATACAAAGCGTCAGATGTAAATATAATTTTTATTTTATTTACGTTTTCTCTCTTGACTCTTTGTCTTCTCCAAACTCCGTTCCCTTCGCTTCTGTCCGCCCCTCATCACCCCTTTCGCGACACGTTTCGTACCATCTGCCGTTTACCCGGCTATCCTTTGAGGGCCCTCGATATGGACGCACCTGCGAGAGCACGCAGGTAACGCACGCCTGTGTGAATGTACGCAAACGCACCTGACGCATTTACTTGGCTTTTGCCTGCATTTACACAGTGCGTATGCCGTTTCGCCCGTGTTATCGATTATTTCAGAAAATTGCAAACTGTTTGAATCGTTGTCGAATTACTCGAGAAAAACCATCTCGCGTTCTCGGACACATCGTCGTTAGCTTTTTGAAAAGCTCGTTTCTAAATAGAACGGACGGAAACTTAGAGTCTGATTGTGTAGCGGTCACTTCTTTGCCGCTTTACCAGTTTCAAAACTCGGAGAAACTAGGATTCGTTTGAAATCTATCGTGAAATCGAAGCGTTTCGGATTGCCTTATACTCGCGCCGAGTTTATGCGTGCGTGTCGCGCAGCACATATAGACACGCGAGTCGCGTAACAGGTATGTGCGCACGTTGATATCGCGAAATTGGGTTACCTGGCGAGCCGAGTGCGAAGACGCGCTGATAAAATTCGTGATAACACGAAGAAGGAACGACGATAATCGATCGTCGGTGTTTCTCGACGCTTTCTTTGTTTTTCCTTCTTTGATTTATCTAATCCGTCGTGTCGCAATCGCGCACGATCAATCTTTGTAATTGTGTAAAGTAAAAAAAAAAGCCGCAGTAACGCTGCCAAGACGATAATAACACAGTTTGCACACTCTTGAATTTCGAACTCTTTGTTTTCAATACATCGCAGTGGGAAAGATAACTTTAAAGGAAGGATGGACGATGACGTTTTTAAACATATATTTCGGCGTCTCTTTGCATCCTTCAAGCGCGACAGCTGCACCTCTCAACTCTCCGGACTTGGAGTCATTTTTGACCTCACGAGTTGACCCTTCAATTAGTCACGTTAAAAAGTAAAAAAAGAAAAAGGTTTTTTGTAAAAAGGAGAACTCGTAGTGAGTTAATAACGATCCTAAAGTTTGCTGCCGAAGAGGTAATAATTGCGTAGAGATGGTTTTTTTTTTTTTTTTTTTTTTTTAAGTGAAACCAAACACGATCAGAAGTCAAATGTGTTCTTAGTAAAGTACGAAGCAACATTTTAAATTTTCTTTCGTTTGGAGCACTCAAAAAATACAAATTGAATATAACAAAATAAGAGAATAGTAAAAACAAAAACAGAAATGAGTTTACGAAAACACACAAAGAAACTTTGCTTTTTACAGTATTCTTATCCGAAAAAACAACAACAATTCCATCACTCGCGATAACGAGCTTTATGATAAATATTTGATGATGTTACGCCACTGTATTCAAGACGAAATAATTCGTACACAAACGAATAATCGAAATAAAGCTCTGGTTTTTTTGCGTTTCACGTTTTCATTGCGCGCCGCGAAAAAGAGAGTGGATTTTCACCGTATTTCACCGTCTACGCGTCTGCGGTCTACGGCCTTCTACGTGATGGAATAATTCTCGCGAGCAAATCGGAAGATCCATCGGCGTTCCAATTCGCGTAATGTAAAAAAATAAAAAACCTCTCTCACCATTTCGCTATTATCGTTTGCTCCATATTTCACCGTGTGTTTTCTTCTAAACGCCGCTTCGAATTATTCCGCATTCCGCTGTGTTATCCGCGACGGAATAATAATTCGCGCGAGCGAACACAGCCGGAAAGATCGAGCGCGATCCGATCGCGCGGCACAACGTAAAAGTGGCTCACCTAGTTTTCAGGAACATTGTTTAAGCTCCTGCTACACGTACGACACGGCCAGCCGCGTTGATTTGAGGAGGATAATTGAGTGAAAGAAGGAAGACGCGCAATTAAAGCGACCGGCGAGAGAGAAAGAGAGAGAAAAAGAGAGAGATAGATAGAGAGAGAGAAAACCGGGAGAAAACCGGATGTAACGTGCGACGTGAAGAAACGGAGTGAGACGGGATAGCCGGCGAGATGATTTTCACGCAGTGAAGAACGAACGAAGTTTACGACTACGCATTTATAAACAAAATAAGAACAAAATCGATGATTGTACAATTGAAGGTCACTCTTATTTAATTCACATATATTATAAATATTTGTATCAATTTTAATTTTTCGAGAGATAGAATGTTAAAAGTTTCAAATAATTGCAAAAAATCTTTTTTGCAGACTGTAATTGCAAAACTACACATTCACACAAAACGTACAGTAAAACAATTATATTTTATATTAGAATTCAAGAACGCGTGAGGTTTATGTAAGATTCGACGCAGATGTCGGTGCGAAATACTTTTTTTTTTCTTTCATTCATACCGACATCTGCGTCGACTCTCGTGCAAGCCTCCTTCTTGAATTCTTGACTTTTACATTTTTTTCAAGAGTCGTTTAAGTATTTGTATAATTTTAAAAGATTTTTTATTATTATATATATTCTTTAAATTCTCTTTTGTAAGAAAATCGTCCTCGTCGGTTAACCATTGCAGAACAAACAGAGCATAATAAATGTGATCAAATGAGTTATTATCCTAATTCTTAGAGCTTGAAAGTAGGTCTCGAAACACAAAAAGCACGGAATATTAGCACGGAACGATTTTCGAATTATACGGGCGTTAACTCGGAATATATTGGGACGTTTTCGATATTGGAAACTACAGATGCGGTGCGGCAACGACCGATCGCATCTATCGATACGCTTTCTCAATGTCGCTGTACCTTCGGTCGGCGCGATGCGATGCGCGAGCGAGCTAGGCTCTAAAACGTTTTTCCCCCGGTTTCTCCGGGGAGTTATACGGAGCTGGGCGGCGAGCGATTTTCCTGTCACTTTCACTAAAACCCACGAAGAAGCTTGCCAACGGCGAGATATCGAAGAAGCGCGAACGACAACGGCGCGCACGATGAACAACAAACGTTCGAAAAATCGTCAGAGAGATCGCCAATTCGCGGGGAAAGACGCGAGATCGCGAAAAACTGTAGCTCGACGAGTTTCGTCGATTCGAAACAAAATGATAAGAGGAAATCTTTCGACGCATTCTCTTCTCGATGCGAAAACGGCGAGAGAAGGAACGATAATAAAAACGATGGTCCTCAACTCGCACGCTAATCTTTCAGCGCGCGTTAGAAAGCCGCCACTTTCCTGAGGAACGCTAAACGGATGCGGGAGAGCGTATTAGGCGCGAAGGAGAGATTTTAGTCTCTCGAATAAAACATCTGAAAAAAAACACCATTACGTACGATAATAAATTTGAATAATTTAACACACAATCCCCTAATATAAATCCTAATATAAGTATATTCCTACAAGGTATCAATATCAACGGCACAACATTTGAACACAAGTAGCAAATATATATCATACAATATTTTTCCACAAATAAAGAACAACTACAACCGATGGAAAATCTACACGGAGTAATAAAAAGTAATAAGAATAAAAGCAGTTGTTATAAAAAATAAATGGAGAAAAAGCGACAAAACGTGAAAAAAATATCAAGAAGAAAAATCAAAAAAGCGAAGCATTAGCAACCGGTTTTCATCCCTTGCGTCCGTGGTTTCTTTCGTAGTCCCGAGAAAGCGCGGGTTTTTCTCCCGTTGCACGGTGAAGAGAGAAAGAGAGAGAGGAAAGACCGTCCTTCCATCTTCCCTCCCGCGATTCATCTCAATTTTTCTTCGAGCTTTTTGTGTCCAATTTCACCTCGCCTCCCTGTCATGCCACATCCTCTTTCTTTTTCCCCGTCTGTGCCTCCGCCATTCGCGGAGTAGACGAGCTCGCTCTTCGTGCGCTTCATCCCCCCTCGTCCTTTTTCCCGCTCAATTCTACCCTGGCCTCTCTTTCTTTCTCTCTCCTCGTTTCTTCGCTCTTCTCATCCATTTCACGACCGTCGTTCCGTCTCCCTCGCCGTTCTTCGTCTTCCTTTTTCTTGTCTCTCGGTCGTTTCATCGCTTCTTCCTCGACCCTCCGCACTCGTCCCCTTCCGCCGCCTTCACCCCGGGCTTTCTCTCTTTCTCTCACCGCGTACGTTGCTTCTATTTGCTCGTTCTCTTTTACCCCCACGCCTAAGACGCTATTTTCTCGTGGCCCCTTCACTTCCCAGCTATATGCCACCTTTCTTTCTTTCTTTCTCTCTTTCTCTCTTCCCCCCTCCCTCCTCTCCCTCTTTTTCTCTTTCTCTCACA